ATGGCATGTGCTTGTGATGATAGCAAGAAAAATCGTCAAATAAATTTTAAATTAACTATAATTGTTTACTAAAAACAAATTTAGGAAGATACGTGAAGGAAAACCATTTTTGTTTCAATTTTTAATGTTTGAATAGTTACATAATTGGATCCATATATTTGAATCAACATATACATTCATTAATGTCCAAAAACTTAAACGAAGGCAAATAATATACCGAAAAATGATGAAAACAATGGTCAGTGAATCTTAATCCTTAAACTATTAATTATAATGTTTGAAATTAAAGATATCATATCGGCAAAGGTTAATTAATGTGTTAGAAGTGAACTTTAAGCCTAATTCAACCCCCATAAAACTGGCTTGTAGGGTTAGGTTTGCACCCACTTATAAATTATAATTGGTATTATCTCTAGTCGATGTGAAACATAATAATGTATTTGTAATCCTTAAAGTTTATTTTTGAAATATATTTTTTTTCTTTTATAACGAGTTAAATCAGAGTAATTTTATTCACATGCAATTATTCAATTAATCTTAAATGTTTGAGAAAATATTGGTGAGACTGATTAATTATAGGATAATGATATTTTAATAACATTTTTTTGATAATATTTTAACACTATGTACGTGTTATTCTGTGATTGGTCCATGTTGGTGTTTATGATTATTATTATTGATTGTAGAATAATTTTGAACCAATCATAAAATAACACGTAAATGATAACATGTAAATGATATTAAAATGTTATAAAAAAAATGTTGTCCGGATATTTTTAATTATACTGGTACGAATAACCCATGAAGCAAAGGCCATGAAAAGAATAAAAGTTAAATTTGGACGTAGTTGAAGGTTGATTTGTTTAATGTGAACATTTATCCAATAAGAATAGAGTTGGTAATATGGTCACAGAGATTCTATGACACTTCCATAATAGCTTTTTTCACAGACTTCTTTTTACTTTTTTTCATTATGTTCGAGGAAGAATCTTTACAAACTTCTTCAACTTGTGATACCTATGAGTAGTCAATATCACACACTATATCCTGTCCTCTTCAAAACCAACTAAATTTTCGCTGAACATTGTTTTGATCGTAACTTTTGCAGTTACGAGATAACAGAAAGTTTGTATAGTGTAGTAGATATTTGATGGAAACGGGGAGAAAGTAAACGGAATCTTTTCTTCTTCGAGAATCGTATTCGTATCGATTAATGCTTGTTCGAACAGAATCAATACCACTTTGTTCACTTAAATGAATTTGAAAAAGAGTAATAAAATTAATTTAAGGAAATTCGGAAGTAAAATTTTTGTTGTTTATTTAAATAAATTTGGAGATAAGTGAAAATAAATTTGGAAGTAAATTTTTTTAATCTGTCACATTAATTAAATCCTACACTAATTCTTACAAACTTTACTTCCAAATTCATTGTCACTTATCTCTAAATCCACTTAAATAAATAACAAAAAATTTACTTTCAAATCCTCTCAAATTTATTTAATCACTCCACCAGGAAACAAAACTTAAAAATTAATTATTTCAGTTATTTTATTAGAATATATGAATAGATATTTATATTTAATTTGTACGTGTAAATTTATAATTGGACAGTATGTATTTTGGTGAAAAGAAAAGATTGACAAAGGAAGGTAGTTGGAGTTATGGTAGGGTTTGCAGAAAATGAGTGGTGTTAGTAAAAAAAAGGCCCACTGACATATTTTACTTTTTTGGGGTTTTGGGGATAATTTAAACGATCAGGATTCGGTGTTGGTCTTGAATCTTCTTGTTAAGGAAAAAAGCCGCAATTTAATGGTCTGGCTGGGCCATATTCTGCACTCTTTCAACTTTCTTTGTGCTTTCCACCAGTCTCTATCATGCTCTCTCAGTCATTTCTGTTTTACTACCCAAACAATTTCATACGTAGCTACGTATTAATCACACTCACTGCTATATCTTAATCATCACTCCATAACCTTTCTCTTTCTCAGCTCAAGAACCATATCAAGCTTTTTTCATAAATAAGTATAGCAGAACAACAGATCTACAACTCCTTCCCTTTCAATCTCACTCACTCACTTCCCCACACATTTGTTCTCATAAATTTGTAAGCACAACTCACTATATTATATAATTAATACATGCTTATTCATCAATGCTTTTAACTCGGATCTCATTGATCAACGAACCATATTATTATCATGTCCAAATTTTAGTTAAACAAGAAATTGAGAACATATTTAAAACCGGTAGTACACGTGTATAGTTTTAAGTAAGAAATATCAAAGATGCTTGCGTTTATCAAAAATATTGTAAATTATCAACCATTTTTCTTCTTATAAATGCTTTGAAACTATGCAACATCTTAAGTGCTGATATAACCTTTGTTGAATTTATTTTCTCAAATATATTATATAACTTTTTTAAATTATCTAAGTTAAAATTGATAGATATGTTCTTATGGGACCGAAATTATATTGTAAAGGTTTCATAAGAAGTTTTTCTCTATACTCTCCGATCCAATATACTTCCAAGCTTTAATATTATCCTGGTAGAAGCTTATATGAAAAAAAAAACACTCAAGACAGAAATTTATGTTATATAGTAATAAATGTTATAATAATAAACACGTAATTAATTATATTGTAAACAATTTTAGGATTTTTATTCTACTTGAGTTTCAATCATATATATGATCACGTTAGTCAATTTTCCTAATATATTTTGCTAATACATCTTAATTATCAATCTTAATTGATCGCAAACTTTTTTTCATTTTCCAAAACTGATGTTATGATGTTAATCAAGGAAATCTTAGTCATATAAGTATAATCCAAAATAATATAAATAAGTATGAGTTTATATTTGTAATATAAGTCGAGATAATCTCAATTGATAATCTCAAACCTAAATAATACAAAATCAAAATAAGAAACAATTATTTGTTTAGTATAACTACTATATTAAACAATTATTTATTTCTGTTGTGTCCATCCACTTTATTTCTTTTCACCGCATCTATCAATCTATCAACACAAAAACGATTTAAAGCGTCAGCTTTGTGGAAAAACAGTGATGTTCATTAAAAGTAAAGCTAACAATTAGGAACGAACAACCAGAGATTATCTCGTACTTTGCAAAGTCAAATGGTAATCTTCTATTAATGGAATCGAAGAGACACGACTAGAAGCTGCATGGACCCAACTTCATTAAAATAGTTGAAAAAAAATAATTATTTTTTTTATGGCCCACCAAGAAAAATATCAAAGTAAAAAAATATTATGGAGCCCATTGGGATGGGCTTGCTTCAGACTTGGAAAGTAAAGATAAATCCACGTAATCTACGCGTTTCCGCGGAAACGGAAATTAATGCCACCCTTCTATCACTCTCATCACTCACTCTTTATTTTATTTTATTTTTATTTTTTAATACCCTCACTTTAGAATCCAAAACCTACTAATTAAGAAAATATACAAGTAACTATTACACTAGTTCTTTACTGATACTGCTTCTAAATCAAGGTTGGCTCATACAATAAGTTATTAAATATCTATTTGATGTCACCGTTAGATACTAGTATATTCAATTTTCTAAACTCAAATAATTCTTTATAAATATCAGCTCATCGATATTTTTCACGTGTTGAATTACTTTTTGTAATATTATTTGTTTAATTAAAAAAAAATACATGTAGATTCTTTAAACAAGTCATTCAAACCAAGAAAAATAGTTACTGAGTACAACTCTATATTTTATCCATAGTTTAAGATTATAAGATATAAATTAAATAGTCAGTCTCTTTATTTATCTTAAAAAATATAATTTATTAATATATAGATTTTATTATATCTCTCATTATTAATTTGAAAGTTCACATCTCAATTGTTTTATTTAGTAATTAAGAAAAAGAATTATCAATATTGTTTAAAAATAAAGAAAAACAATAAATAATGTATTTTGAAAAGTAACAGTTAGAAATACGAAACTGTAGTGGAAAATGAAAGAACAGTTATCAACTGTCAACCGTGTTTTGAACGCGTGGGTTGTCATCCGGAAACCAAACAGGTCATTAGTCAAAGAGACGTTGGAAGGTCATTCACTTCTCTTGTTTTACGAGTCTCTATCACATTATCCACTGCCTTCTTTTTCTTGTACCACTAAATCTTTTATTCATTTTTTTTTCTTTTCCTTCAACTTATACCTCAATCTAACTAGTTCTTCTTCACTTTCCATTGTTTGGGCCTGTATTTGGGCCAACCTAAAAATTTAAAGCAAATTCAGAACCCAAAAATTAAATATTAAAATAGCTTCATACATTTAAAACATAGATAGATTTAAAGAAGTGGTATTTTAAAATACAAGGTAAAGCGTAAAAGAAACAAGAAAAGGGAAGTTGGGCAGTTACATGCACGTAGTACTAAGGTAGGCTTTCGTTAATATTTTAAACATGTGGTAGTGAAGTTTATGGCATGAGTTGTCGATGATTCAAACATCACCTCGCTACGGAAACCCAGCAAGCGAACAGAATATGATGCAATAAATAAAAGAATGGGTAAGATTTTCAATCAAAGGGTCAATTGGCATGACTTGTCTCCTGCTGCTACATAGCAACACTTCCCTCTTTTACGTCACAGAAAAGGCCCAAAATCAAAGGAAGGTAGAAACCCCTGAATCCAGAAGGAATCTAAGCCCAATCTTTTGACCGAGACAAACATAGATTCAATACACACACTCCCTCACTCTCCTTCGCTCCACCTTCCCCTTTCCCTTTCAGCCAAACCACCCTTATCCAATTTCATGTTTAGGAAATGAAAAGAAAATCACACGTGTCAAACACAAAGATCTAGAAAGGGTTACTCCCCATACCGTGGGATGAAAAAAACTGCCACGCCCCAAAATCAGAATTGGCTAAACCTAACCCCAACTTAGCTGGACAAACAGTGTGGACACTTTCCTTCAAACACAACCTCACCTTCTCCAACTACATACATACTATATATATATATAACTCACTTTCCCTCCTAAAACCAAACAAAACACAACCACAAAAACAAAAACACAACAACGTTGGTTACTAGTAGTAACTGATATAACTACCGCTTTTGCACACGTTCTTCCATTCACTCAAACAACTCCAGAAAACCAAACTTTCCGTCAGGTATCATGTTTTCCACCGACCCACAAGCGACCTCGCCGGACTCGGGAGGTTCCCGTCCGGCGCTGTCGGACGAGGAGGTGTTTCTGGCAGCGAGCCACCCCAAGAAACGCGCTGGGAGGAAGAAGTTCCGGGAGACGCGCCACCCGGTGTTCCGCGGCGTCAGGCGGAGGGACTCCGGTAAGTGGGTGTGCGAGGTGCGCGAGCCCAACAAGAAGACTAGGATTTGGCTGGGGACCTTTCCTACGGCGGAGATGGCGGCGCGTGCACACGACGTGGCTGCGCTGGCGCTTAGGGGAAGGTCGGCCTGTCTCAACTTCGCCGACTCCGCGAATCGGTTACCGGTGCCGGCGACGGCTGATCCCCGGGACATTCAGAAGGCGGCGGCAGAGGCTGCAGAGGCGTTTCGGCCCGGTAACGAATCGGGAAAGGATGATGATGCGGTGGTGGAGACCGTGGCGACAGCGACGGAGAGTGTTGAAGAAAAAGAGATGGAGGATCTGAGGAACATGGTGCTGATGTCGCCAACCCATTGCTTCGAGAGTGATGAATATGGAAGTACGGAAATGGAATTTGAAGACATTGAAGTTTCGTTGTGGAGTTACTCACTCTAATCTTTTGACTCATTATTGGATTTTTAATTGCTATTTTGGGAATAGTACAAGAGTATCCGTACTTATAATTTTTTTACTAGTACGAGACTGCTCATTTAGGTGTCTCAACTCCAAAATCACCTTTTTATGGATAAGTTCACACAAATTTGAAATTTAAGTTGTGTATATACAACAGTACTGTAAAATATCAAGAATTCTTATAAGATTTTTTATTTTTTCTATTTTGGCATTTCTAAGTAAAGACTTATAGTTATTTTACTGATTTTTCATTCACATTATTTATATATATATATATATATATATATATATATATAGAGAGAGAGAGAGAGAGAGAGAGAGAGAGAAATAAGTAAATAAAATTGACTTTTGTTAACATTTATTGAGATGCTATTATAATGTATGTATTTGTATTAAATATTGAAAAAAAGTTTTTGTTGTCAATAATATTTTATTCTAGTTTACTATAATTTAATTTATAGTAAGTTCCCTACACAAAATTTTTCTCTCCTTAAATTTTATTCGTTAATATTTTAAGCTTTTATCAATTATATTTAAAAAAAGTCACTTATGTTTGATTTTTGTGATTTTTCCTTAGGTTTATAAAAGTTTTTATGCGTCTTTAGCTTTTCCTCTTTTTATTATTCAAACAACCAAACGAGTGTCAAAGTAAGGAAGTTATTTTAAATTATAAATAAATTTATTCTACATATAAAAAAATTGTTAAAAATATATTCTAAATTTATTAGAACAGATAAAGTAATTAGGTACGAGTTAAAAAACTTTTTAAAAAAGTTCGCAAATTTATTACGCATATTTTTTTTTTGAGTTGTCATTCAATCAACATTCAAGTAATGATCGCTATCTTAGATGTAGGGCACTATTCACAGAAAAAAAAAACCAACAAAATTATGATATATTTTTTTAATACAGAGAAAAACAATTATTTACCAATTTAAGTAACTAGGTTAACATGTTTAAATTAATGAATTAAATACATATAACCAAATTAAACGAGAAAAATATCAGCATTAATAATCAATATAGCACATTTAATTTTAATTGAAAATATAAAAAAAAAATCCTCTCAAAACAGCAAACTTTATTTTATACATCAGAAATTGGCAAATAGAAAAGAAAAAAAAAAACTTCTTAATGGTTTTCATTTTTGGGAGGGGGTAGGTAATTGACAGTAAATTCATGAGTGTAATCTTATACTGATTTGTTTAAAAGTTACCATAGTAACAAGGTTCCTAACCCACAAATGTGGAGTGCTTAGTCAACCATCAAAACATTTTACAAAATCCCAGTAGCACAAGCTAACCAAAATTTGTATAATATAGCAAAATAAATATTTAGTAACAAATAATATGTATTTTGGCCAAAAAAATACTAAGGTTAAACAGTAACTGAAGATCATGATATAAGTATGCGAACAAAAGAAAAACTTGATCAATCAATTGAGTTCATACTTAGAAGCTAGAGATTCAGACCAGCCGTTTCCTCAAGCAATAAACGCTCCTTTAGGGAATCTAGCTTTTCCTGGTTCTTTGCTCGAACATTTGGTAAAACCTTCTCTTCATAACCTGGAGCATTCATAATCTTCTCTAGTCTTTCTATTTGCCTGCATAGAAAGAAACACCAGTCTTTTAATTGAAAGCCGTTAAGAAAAAGGAGAAGAAAAAAAAGGAGCTAAGTTTTTAACAAAATAAATTCATGTGTATATTGTTCAAGTGTTAAGGAAATATTATTCATTATGAAATCCCTTCTAATAATTTCCTTCATCATATACTCTGGTCACCTTCTACCCCTTTTCATTGATAACTCAAGTGTTGAAATGCATTTTAAAGAATAATAGAATATAAAGCATACTTCCTCAGCTCTTCTATCTTCTTGATCTTCCCTTGTTCTGCCTCTGCAGAATTAGTTCCTTGTAATTCTAAATAAACAGAAATGCTCTCATTTACAACAGCATCACCATATCCAGATGGAACAGCATCAGTTTCAGAGATTACCTGTGAATCATATAATCAATCATTAAAATTGAAAAAAAAATTGCAATCAAGGTGAAAATGGGCTAGATGAGCTAATGTTAATCAATATGACTAATGACAATAGAGAAGCAAAATACAGGGGGCATCCATCAGAAGAAAACACAAAAGCAAAATGTGACACTTACTGTCAACGAGGATAGATTAGCTAATGTTACAATCTCCAGTTGGTGGCTATTAATAATCGCAGTAACCACCTGTGTTCGGCAGAGAACAAAAGCCGGTCGCCTGGGAACATTTGCATCATTTTAGAATCAGTAAAGCATGTTTTATAGTTTGAATAACAAACAACCTTTAGTTGAGAAGTTAAGGAAGCGTTTACTTGCACTTTTATTTTGTTTCCATCTTCTATTTCTACTCTTTTTAATTGCAAAAATGTCACATTGTTTTTCAATTTGTTTCCTGTTTTCAAGGATTTGTCAGCAAACACTTTCTTTTTATTTATCTGTCTCCTGTACAAATATTTGACGATAGGGATAGATAGAAAACAAGGTGATATTTCTGTTATTAAAAATTAAAACAGAAAATAAAAATGCAAGTAAACACCCTTTAAAAATTGACAGAAAGAAATAAACAAAATACTAGGGGAATTTCTTATGCTCATTTATATAAAAATCTTATTTTAAAATTTTCTCATTTGTCACCCCAAAAGAGAGATTCCACATATATTAAAGAAAACAGAGCAGAAAACCTGAAGCTTTGCAAAAGCAGATGTTGCTTCCACATACCTGTCACGTTTTTCTTTAGCCAGTGATCTCAGAGACTTAATAGTAGACTCAATAATGTCCATCTCATTCTCCACAGTTTCATTATTCCAGCCCTGGTATAAAAAACAAAAACAGAAATCTTATTATTGAATAACCAAAGAAAGATAAATACAATACAACACATCATAAAAAAATACGAAGTACTTGATCGTAGTTGAAACTTTCAATTTTAAAAAAGAGCCTGAATATTATACTAATAAGAAAAACTAACCTCTACAGCTGATGGATAATCACTTATCATGATAGATTCTGCTCTCTTACATTCCTTGGGCGAAGGAAGACGTTGCCATAGTTCCTCCGTGACAAAAGGCATGAAGGGATGAAGCAATCGAAGGCCATTGTCCAGACAAAACCACAAAGTATCTTGTGCAAAGCGTCTTTCAGAAGCAAACTTAGTATCATTACCAGAAAAGTAAGGCTTAATCACTTCGATAAATACGTCACACAATTGATACTGCCACCAAGAATACACAGCAGTGGTAGCTTGTGAGAATTCAAATGATTCTAGAGATTTCACTGTTTTTGTTATGGTTTTATTTAACACTGAGAGTATCCACCGGCAGCTAAATGGGAGAACATCTGGATCTAATTCTGCAGGTGGAATATAATCATCGCCAAGCTTGCTCATAGCAAATCTTACTGCATTCCACAGTTTATTACACCATTGGCGATACCCAACCACCCTTTGAATATCTAGGTTAATTTTGTCAGACTGAAATGGACATAAACATCACAATTAGATCACAAAAGTTGACTACATTGGTAAAGAAATAGCCATGTAAAAACATTGACAAGTAAATGACACCTGGGCTGTGTATGAGACCAGTGCAAAACGGAGAGCATCAGCACCACATTCATCAATACCATTTGGAAAGTCCTTCTTCTGACCCTCTATAGCAGTGGCTAGTTCTTTGGGGTCCAAGTTACCAGCCTCTAACCTCTTGTGTAGACCTTCCAAAGATATCCCATTTATCACTTCAATGGGATCAATAACATTCCCCAAGGACTTGGACATCTTGCGCCCATGTGCATCACGAATCATGGGATGCAAATAAATCTGCACAGGATTAGAAGTATATCAATGAGAAGAAGATCATTGATCAAAAGTTCCAAGGATGTAAGGATGGCTAGTTTTCCTCAATATGATGATTTAACTGTCTTCACGAAATTCTTTTTAAAAAAATCAAGAAAAAGAAAAATCTTAGGTATGCATGACCAAAATCCACAGTAAACGTGACAACCAGAGTACATCAATGAGAAGATCATTGATCAAAATTTATAAGGTATACACGAGTGTTTGGTTAGCTTTCCTCGAGGATGACTTAACTTTGTTCACGAATTTCTTTTTCAAAAATCAAGAAAAAGAAAAATCATAGGCATGCATAACCAAAATTCAATGACAACACCAGAGTAACAAGCATAATTTAGTACACAAAAAGGTATGATGCTTTCCCAAAATTATCTGTATGAGATAGTGACCTCACCTTTGAAAAAGGCACATCACCACCCAACTTCAATCCAAACATCACCATACGAGCAACCCAGAAAAAGATGATATCATGGCCAGTTTCCAGAACAGAAGTTGGATAGAATGTCTTCAGGTCCTCTGTGTCATCAGGCCATCCCAGCACAGATAACGGGAACAGACCAGAAGAAAACCATGTATCAAGAACATCAGGATCCTGGCTTAAATGAAACTTCTTTCCACTATACTTCTGGCTAGCCACCTTTTGGGCCTCCTCTTCATTTCTTGCCACAACCCAATGATCGTTATAAGCACCAAATTCCTGCAGCACGTCATCCTCCAAGGTGACATACCACGCAGGTACTCGGTGACCCCACCAAAGCTGTCGTGAAATGCACCAATCACGAATGTTTTCTAGCCATCTGTAAAACTCATCATAGAATTACAAGAACAACAAAGGCACGTCAGAAGAAAAATAGATAAATAGCAAGTTCAACCACAAACCACTGATTCAGTTTACAATATAAGAAATCCTTCTACAATTTACCTCCAGTTTTTTCCCAACACATTTTAGTGTGAAAATAGGAAGGAGTTGAAATTATAGGTTTCAGGTAGAAAAGTTGAAAAAGAGATACATCAAACAATGTTGATAAATGGTGTTGTAATGATGTGTTACAAAATACAATTCTTTGATTCTTAATTCATACTAAAACTAAAGTAATAAGCCTTATTACATGAGGAAACAAACAGTAAATATAGAAACCACCCTTAAACAAATCACCGAAGATACTCATAAACAGTCTTCCGTAGAATAATGACAGATATTCTCTACATATTCAAACGGGAAAACAGTGACAATGAATTAAGTTATTATATTTCTCAACACCTCAACTGCCTCAATTTCAATCTTCAGCTAGAGCTCTACCAAGCAGAGCTAAACCCATCAG